AACCATTATTCCTGCACAAGGTGTAGGGCGGGGTTGACCACAACTTTAATGAAATGTTCGCTATCCTCAACGTGCTCAGGGTTGAGCGAGTCAGGGAAAACTCCCACATTATAACAACCAGAGAGGATTTCTTTAAGCCTCTCTTTCTTCTTTTGGCTCATCAAAGGAGTGGGGGAGATCTGCCCAGTTTTCCTCATGGTAGAGAATGCAAATGTCAACATAACACGCAAAAGGCAAATGAGTAGTAATAGCAAAACGTAGTAAGTATAATACAAGTAAAACCTCAATAAATATGGATAAAACCAACATATTAACTATGAAAACGCCATCCCCGAGTTACGAGACAGGAAATTACAAAACATCTTCAAGGTTACCCAGTCGTCGCCAAGTAGAGTGTAGCTTTGTCTCACACCAAATAGAGGTTACCCAGTCTTCGGGCCTCGCCAAACTGTGGGCGAAACGAAAAATGAAACTACTTCGTTTTGTCAAAGTATTACCGCACAACTCACACGAGAATCCTGTCAGGAAAAACTCGCGTATGTTGTCAGATTTGGAGTTTGCGAGGTTGAGCACATGCATGTTCCTCCCCTGCCTGCAATACACACGAACCGGTAGGTCCTCCGTTAAGCCGGTGGAGGTGGTGTGAAACCTCACGAGTCTGGCGAGTCGGTCAAAAAATTTGGACCTTAGCATGTATCGGAAGTCGCATAGCACACATGAACCCCACACGGATGCAGTTTTCGTGAGCCCTTACAAGTTCGTGTGTGTTATGCGACGATGATACCAGAAACGAGACGAAACAGTGATTCTGGACCTTGCGAGGCCGCGCGAGTTTGAAGCTCGTTTCGTCTCTTTTTTTGCACCGTTCAGTGAGCCCCTTCGCCAGGTACAGTGCATCTTCGAAAAACTAGTATCGAGGGATAGTCACAACATGATCTCATTTCCCCAAACTACTTATTTGTGACCTCATTTGTCAGCGGTATGAGGGGCTGTGGGGGTTAGGAATTTGCCATAACCTCCGAAGGTTACCATAAATTCCCTTTATTTTTCGAAATCAAGCTGCGGAAACTGAAAAAAATTTGAAGACGAAGATATTGCCAAGAAATGCGATCTCGCAGTGTGACTGGTGCAGTCGAACCTAAAATCCAGTCGGGCACAACCTTATCTGTTGCGAAATGAGGAGGTGGTGTGACCAGTCCAGCCACAATTTTCCCAAATCGGGCATCCCATTTTTTCAAAGAAAATATGATTTTGGGTACGCAGTGTGAGCGTGCCCTGTGTGACCGGCCCTCTACCCCTTTTTTGGGAGTTCGTAGCCCGTCAGGGTTGCGGTTTTCCCCCCGGGGACATTTCAACGTCATTGAAATTTCAACGTTGGTGGTCGTTCGGGAGGGTAGGCATTTTGAGGTTTCGGGGCTTAGCAAGGGGTGGGGCATGCGAAGGACTAGTAGCTGCCTGTTGGAGGTCAAGGAGTCATTGAGTTTTGAACATTCCGAAATCAAAACGGTGTGGGTCCACTTTTCTCAAATAGAAGAGCAGTTCGGATAGGACACGTGCGCGTTGTGTTCAAATATAACATCTACCGTTTCTACTCGAATTTCGAAAAGGAAAAACTTTTGTTTTCCAATCGCATATTACGTTTTTTTTTTTTTTGAGGTCATCGCTTGCCCTTGTGCTCCCCGCCACTGACATGGTGCATACTGCAAGGCTCTCTCTCTCTCTCTCACACACACACACACACACACACACACACACACACACACACACAC